AGAGAGAATCTTGCCCCTAATTGATGTTTATTAGGAAGCAAGCACCTGTGTGCTACGAGGTGAGAGTGCCTGTAAACGTGCTGAGCCCCCTCACTTCAAGGCCGAGGGAGCGTGGAGTCCCTCAGGAGGCACTCCACAGCTTACAGGGGCAGGCTATCAGCTCTAGGCAATCACTCAATGAGCAGCCAGGGCCTGATTCCCCGCCGCCCTGCACTTTGTGCAGGCATTTACACCTGAAAGTGCGCTGCCAAATCAGAATTCCACACACACTTACACCAGCAGCAGCTTTTTACCCCACTGTGCACTGGTGTAAACATCTACACCAGGTGTAAGGCAATGAGGTAGCAGTAATTCCCCAACTGCAGCATCCTCCCTTCTATGTAAAAGTGACAATGGGCAGCTGCACCGAGCCCTCCAGTAGCAACATGGCAAGAGAACCAGCTACCAGCAAGGACTCAGAGACCTAGGGCATGCGGATGGCCTGCTCTGCAGATCTGTTGGGGATCTATAAGGCTACACATTTGCCAGCTGATCTCTGACCTACTAAGCCATGGCCATGCTCCCTTCCACCTGTGTGAGTGAGGGGATCATGCAGTGGAGAAAATGTGACTGGATACTCACAGCCGTGCCCCCATTAGGATTGGGCCTTCTATCTAGAATGTATTTTATAAAATGAAGTGGATCCATGTGTGTAATCTGTTGTGGGAGCATCTGTGATCCTTCGCCCTGGACCAGGACCCCATTTTGCTTGGCGCCGTGCAAACAGAACATGACGACAGTCCCTGCCCCAAAAACTGTGTGGGGCGGTGTTACTGACAGGTTTTAGAGTCTGTTGATTCCATCTAGTTATGAATTTCACAAGGCAAATTTTCTACTCCAATGTTGTGTTGTTTGGTGGAGACAATAAGATTTGAGGTCTCAAAAACAGGACTGAAGCAGATACTTTAACGCTTGAAACTACAAACTGCATGGTGCAGGCTTGAACAATGAATCGGATTATTTGAATATTCAGATTTAAGAATGGTGTTAATCAGAAAACCATTAATTGAATATTTGTTAAGAAGCCAAGCTGGGCAACACAAACAAGAGTGACAAGGGCAGCTATTTAAATGCCAGGCTCTGCAACCCGTTGGAATTTGCAGCTGAAGCTTGGGATCAGTTTAAGCTCAGAATCTTTAAGGGGATAGTGAGCTTGAGCTAAATGCAACATGATTATGGAGATAATTGTGTTTAAACAGATGTTAGTCATCTTTTTTTCATTTTTGGGAATGGAAACTGAGCTACAGATGGTGAGGGCTGGAGAGTTTCAAAGGGCTGTGCTGTACCCAGACCCACAGTTCAGAAAAACACAGAAGAGTGTATAACGATATTCAAATTCTCAGTTCTAACAAAAGCTGATAAGTAACAATACACTGAGGTGACTAGATCTTTTGGCACACATGAGGAGTTGTGATTTATCTGACCCTTGTGACCTTGGGACTCTGTCTGAGTGCTGAGGTGGCTTCCTCTCCTCTTCACATGGCTGGCGGCAGCACGCTTGGGCAGATGCTAGGCACATCTTCCACCACCACACGCAGAGTCTTGTGGATGGAGGGATGAGTGTTGAGTTTGGGGGTGTTCCAGAAACATTCTCCTGGTTGGAGTCATCAAGAGTGGAGACTCCATGCCCTCCTCTCCATCAAATACCCCTCTTCTCGGGGGCAGCCCCATGACACACCAGCACTAGTAAACAGCCCTTAGACAGGACTAGGGAACTATTCTAAAAGGAACAGAGGGTCCTGTGGCACCTTTAAGACTAGCAGAAGTATTGGAGCATAAGCTTTCATTAATGAAGTGGGCATTCACCCACGAAAGCTTATGCTCCAATACTTCTGTTAGTCTTAAAGGTGCCACAGGACCCTCTGTTGCTTTTTACAGATTCAGACTAACACGGCTACCCCTCTGATACTATTCTAAAAGGCTTATACGTGGATAATGTGTTCATACCTCCATGTCAAGGACCTTGTGAAATATGGCCTGAGCTAGGCATTCCCGTACGTATCTTTGGTGATCCTTCCTCATAGCATTTAGCCGATACTCCTTCTCAGATATTATTCTTCCACTTCTTGAGATCTGCCATAAGCAAATAAAATATAAATACAGAGAAAAAGAGAAGAGAGAACAAGGTGTATCCTAAACAAAGCCACATACAAAAGGAGAGCAAAACTACTTGAAGACATACACCATTTCTGCACCTTTACTATGTCCCCCACTTCCATTAGAGACCATAGAGAGACAAGGTGGGTGAGCTGGTATCTTCTACTGGACCAACTTCTGTTGGAGAGAGAGACAAGCTGTCGAGCTTACACAGAGTTCTTCTTCAGTTCTGAAGGCAGCACAGAGAGGCATGGAGGTCTGAAGAAGAGCTCTTTGTAAGCTCGAAAGCTTGTCTTTCTCACCAACAGAAGTTGGTCCAATAAAAGATATTACCTCACTCACCTTGTCTCTCAATATCCTGGGACTAACCCAGCTACAACAACACTGCATGAAACAATTAGAGACAATAGAGATTGCTGAAAAATAAAATTAAAGGTATTAACTCAATTCTGAATTGGAATTTTGTAAATTTGCTAATCGACTTTATAGGCAATAGGTTAACTTTGACACTGTTTTTTAAAAACAAGTCAATCATCTAATAGCATTTAATTATGACTTACAGATTCTGAGAAGAACAACCAGAAATATGCAACAAAGACATACTGGATCTTTTGTAGTCATTCAAAGAAAAGTTCTCCTCACAATAGATTTGAAATACAAATACAGTGACACGTCTTAATAGCAGCCTTACTGTGTGGTAATGCACTGCCATTCATGTGTGGTAACGACTTACTGCAACTCTGCCACAAGCTCAGGGCTATGCTAAGATTACCCAGTGTTTCTGTACAGAATTGATCCATGCCAATAATGGTCTCCAACACCATGGAGACAGATGACTGATAGGCAATCATGTTTATTATTAAGAGACAATGCCTCAGTTTCAATTAATAGCTCATCACAAGCCAATCAAAGTTCAGGATCCTCAGCATTCAGAAGCAGTTTTATTCTGCTGCTAATGTCACTTGGGGAATTTTCATAATACTCGAAAATCCGAACTGGGTCATTAGGAGGTATGTTTTTTTATTGCTGTTGGAATTTTTCCTGCTGGAATTCCACCACAGTGTCCTCTCCTCCAGTCTCCACAAATTATTAATTTAATCCAATAATATTAAATTGGGAGAAAATGAATGATTTGTATTAAGTGAATACCTATCTTAGGTCTCACCCTAAGAATGGTCTCACCCATGGCATGAACAGAATCAGTTAACATTGCCTTGTCATGCACACACCCTCTACCAATAATGAGTTAACGCATTTACAGCCCAATCACATATGGTGGTGCTGTGCATCTTAAACAAGTTGAGCATCCCTCAGCCTCCAATGCTGCAATGTGCTAAGTACCTCCAGCAGTGTACTAACTGCAACTTCCTCAACTCCCAACGAAGTCTTTGATGCTACTTAGCACATTGCAGTATCAGGCCCAGAATTAGCACCTGTCCTTGATTCTCTACGATTGTCCAGATTTTAGCAGCACAGCCCTGTGTCCCACAACCATGCTATATTTACAGGACCCCCAATCCCATACGGTCCTGCCATATGTGATCACACTGTGATGTTGGGTGGTAATGCAGTGGATGACCTTCTGATGCAATGAAAAGATCACATTATATCATGCTGGCATGGGATGACACCATGAGATGTGTTTGTCTAGATGGGCAAATTTTTAAAAAGTGGCAACCCTACCTCTGTACTGAAAATCAAAAATACCCGGCAGCGTGAGGTAAAAGTAACAAAAAGGGAGCCTTTAAAGCCTACCAGCCCTGATCGCTGAAGATGCCGTCTTATCCTTGTATTGCTGAAGTATCCAGCCAAGTGTCTGTCTGTTAGGCTGTTGTAGGTTGCGAGTGACCTGAAACCAATAAATGAGATCACCATGGAGACATTATGTAAACCCAGAGTTTAGTGTTGAAGTTATAAATAATCTATCTGAAATTTAGATGCACAAAGTGTTGTCTTGAAAAATCAATTCAGGCATTTTGTCAGATAAATAACCTTCAAATGTCCCATAGAGGTAACATCCCCCTGTTCCATGAGAGATTTAGATCTTCTCCAGAAATCACTCATCCTGGGATACACAGGCCCTTTGTTTGCTCAACATTAGATAAAATATCAACCAGTAAAGACTGTTTTCACTGTGGACCCCAAGCCACTGTTCTTGCTCAGACAAAATTCCCATGAGATGTCTGCCAGAGTAAGAAATGGCTGGATTTATGGTAGCTTAATATTGTACCCATAGCACCAATGAACATTCAGACATAAGTCATTTGGGGCCAGATTTGGCTGCTTGGAGTTTGAGTACAGTGAGATCGGGCGGGAAGGTATCAATGAGCCAGTTGCAGCTCTCTAATCCCAACATGTCTGGCCCTGGGGCAAGCTAGAGTTACAGAGGACCAGTTCTAATTTGCATCAGTGGAAGATCAAGCATACTAGAAATCTGCTTCCTTACACCCCTCTCCTTGTCTCCGGCACACCTCCAACATGCACCCTCCATCCTTTTACACTGGCGCTGGAAGGGGATGGTGCATAAGGCAGCTATGCTGTCTCTGCCCAATTTATGCAGCCAGAGTTCACCTACACAGGGGGGGAAAACTCCACTGGCCTTCTCCAGCTGATTTAAGTCTTCTTTGTGCTACTTACCTAGCCCAAAATGGAGCTAGCAGACCAGAGAATCTGCCTCTTTCAATATATACAATTGAAGCAGCAACTTCTAGCCCCACTAACTATAAAGAACATGAGTCTTTCTTTCTTTTTCCTCCCGCACCATCAGGTACATAGGGCATCCGTCAGTTTCCACCATTTATTTCAGTTTTGTGCTGATATGTTCAGGCTTCTGAGTATCTTGTTAAGGGATTTGCCTTCTTTCTCTATTGCTCTGCATAACGTTTCTCTAGGTCACGCTCTTTTTCCTCTTTCCAGGTAGTGTCCATATAATCACTACCCATGAGAGTCATGTCATTGGCATCCTTAAATACTGTTTCTATAATAAACCCTGGGCCCTTTTTATTTGTGCTGGTTTGAAAATTAACATACAAGTTGTCAGTCCAGGATGCAAATTTCTTTTCTAAAAATGGTTGATTAGCTTATGTCTCTACCTTAGCATTCTTCTTGAGTGTTTCTTCTGGAGTTATGAATCCATCTGTCTTTCTAGGGTATCTCTAGTTCTAATTCTTCCACTACTGCAATGCCTATAGACATGCCAATGGGATATGTAGGCTTAGGTGTCTTGTTTAAATCATATATTCTAGATGCATTGATGTACCTTTGAATTTTTTTAAACAGCTCCTCAAATAGGTGGGACAGATACTAATCCTATTGCCATGAGTTAGTCATCTCATCCCATACAGAGCTTGAGTTCTGCCACTTTTAAGGACCAGTGCAGGAAAAACTAAAGGTCACAGTTGTGTGTGTCCAAAAGGGAAGCCCAGTTTTTCTCTTTATTTTAAACCACTCTCTCCACAAGGAGTCAGCTAAGTGGTTGTTTCCCAGGAGGAAATGTTGCCAGGCCAGCAGGCTACTTCGCTAATGAGGAAAGGCCTGTTTAAAGAAATGAGTCCTGCACTGGTCGTTAAAAGTGGCAGAACTCAAGCTCTGTATGGGATGAGATGACTAACTCATGGCAATAGGATTAGTATCTGTCCCACCTATTTGAGAAGCTGTTTAAAAAAATTCAAAGGTACATCAATGCGTCTAGAATATATGATTTAAACAAGACACCTAAGCCTACATGTCCCATATAAATATGCCTGAATTCATCTGCACAGAATTTGCACTGCATCATATTCACACATTTCATGACATTACAAGATCATGATGCTATGGTACTGTGCTTTAGTCTGCACTCACCATATGGCAGCTGTTTGTACTGTTAAAAGTGCAGCTGGTAATGGTGAGATTGCTCCGTCTGTCTTCCCCCACTGTAGCTACAGCCCATTACAGAAAATCATTAGATCCACTCTGCAAGGTTGAGACTCTCAAGCTAAATAAGGAAGTCAATTTACTCCACAAGCCACTGAAGAGCTGGTACAAAAGGCCAACGTGCACACTCATCTCTTATGAGTGTTCTGTCTGCATGAATCAGAATCTGGACCTGACGCTGTACGGACATCCTGAGAACTGTAGACACACATTTTAAACCAGAAGCAGATAATATGAAAGGGAATACTAGGCCTTCCCACTGTCCCCCAAAAACTGATATCAAATTTTATTATCATATTTGGAAGATCAGCTTTGTACTCTCCTTGGTCTAGGAACATGCTGCGTGCCCAAGAGGTTGGGCAAGGACCTCATCTAAGGCCAACATTAATACAGAAGAAGACATGGTGAAAGATTGTCACTAGCCTTTCAAGAATGTAAGTGCTACTAGCCTAGAAAGCTCAAGATACAGAACAACCCACCCCGATGTACAATGTGGACCTTGCAAGGAAAAAGAAGTTAGATATTCCATCCTGTGCTGCACTCTGGCCTTGAGATTTTAAGGAGACCAGCTACCTAAATTCTAAGCTCTTCAGGGCAGAGACTGTCTTTTTGTTCTGTGTTTGTACAGCACCTAGCACAATGGGGCCCTGGTCCATTGCTGGAGCTCCTAAATGCTGCTGCAATATAAGTAATAACTACATAAGAGCAGCCATATTGGGTCAGACAAATGGTCCAAGCCCAGTATCTTGTCTTCAGACAATGACCAATGCCAAGTGCTTCAGAGGGAATGAACAGAACAGGAAATCATTGAGTGATCCATCCCCTGTCGTCCACTCCCAGTTTCTGGCAATCAGAGACTAGGGACACCCAGAGTATGGAGTTGCATCCCTAACCATCTTGACTAATAGCCATTGATGGACCTATCCTCCATAAACGTACCTAATTATTTATTCAACACTGCTATAATTTTGGCCTTCACAACATCCCCTGGCAATGAGTTCCACAGGTTGACTGTGTTCTGTGAAGAAGTACTTCCTTTTGTTTGTTTTAACTAGTAATAACTACAATAGATGATTACAGAAGCTAACACTAGGATATTTAAAGGACCCAAGGAAGCTGGATAGCCATATCCCAATGAATTTAAATGGGAATTGTACTCCTAACTCGCTTAGACTCCAATGAAAAGCTCAGTCTAAATACATATGGCTCAGGTAAGTGAGTAGTAAGGGTGTACATAATAAACATCCACACATATTTTAGTGTGTGAGCACTAAGGAGTGGAGAATTATTTAGGGTATAATCAAGCTTAGTGGCATTATGATAGTAATAATACACCGCATTTATAAGCATATATGATAGATTTAATATACTAAACTAACATTAATTATTACAGCATCCCTAGGAAGAATGTATATGAGAATCATTTTATAGCTGGGGAAACTGAAGCAAAGAGATTTGTATACAGCCACGCAATGAGTCAGCAGCAGAGCCGGTATTATAATTCAAGACCTCCTGACTCCCAACCTGCACGTACTCATTGATTCCTTATGGGATTAAATATGACAGAAGGAATATGTGGGCTGAATATCAGGAAAATTATTTTCCTTCCAGACTGTGGAACGGTAAATAAAGTCCAAGCCAATTTAAGCACACTCTCCCAAGAGAAAAAGGTGGAAAACCCATTACTTGGGACATTTAAAACTAGAACTAGCCCAACAAAGAGCTTAAAAATATACTACAGGGAACAAGACTCCACTAGCAGAACAGGGAAGAGCTCAAGCGTCAGGTGCACTGAGCTACACTTGATACCCAGGAGGGGATAGAGGCAAAGATGCCTTTGCATCAGCCATTCTTCCTCCTGTACTGGGGCTGGTTCAGCCCCAGTGCAATGTGAGCAGCTTCACAACTGCTCTAAACTGCACTTGCTTCGAACGGCCCCTTACAGGCCATTGTGCTGGCTCATGATTGATGGTGTGCAAAGTACTTGGGCTACACCAGCTTCTGCCCCAATTCATCTTCTACATTAGCGGTTCGGGGGCAGTGTGTCATAGGGCTCCATTTGGGGCAACGTCAAGTCCCCTTCATGTCACTAAAGAAGCACAAAGGGGTCCCAGTGTGGTCCAGGATCTGGTCCAAGATAATTTAACCTAGTGGCTCTCTTTCATCTCTATTTTCTATGTATTAAACATCCTTTTTAATGCACATGACCATCCAGAATAAACCAATGAATGTGTCTCTTGTTTAATAATGAAAAACTGAAAGAACGACAAGTGAAGAAGGATGGTCAGGGAGCCAAGAAATGGGGCTTCTGTGCCTGCCTCTATCCCAGACATGTTGGGTGACCTTGGGAAAGTCTCCACTAAATGTAGGCGCCTCCATTTTTGGGTGCGCAGTCTGAGATAACTAGGGGCTGATTGTCAAAGGTACTGAGTGCTCACAACTCCATTGGAATGCAATAGGAGCTGCAGGTGCTCAGAAGTTCTGAAAATCTAACCCAAGGTGTCCCAACTGGGCACCAAAACCTGAGGCATCTATTAGTAAATAGATATGAAAATTTAGCACCTTTGTTTCTCAGTTCCCCCTTCTGTAAAATGGGACTAGCAATATTTACCTCAAGGGAGGAGAAAGGTTGAGACTCATTAGCTCATTAATATTTGTGTAGTACCTTGGCAGTGTGATGGAAGACGCAGTAGATGTGCAAGGTATTTTGTTATATGATGAATGAGCAATCTGTTGAATAGTTGCGTTTGTTTCAATCTGAGCTGGGGTGTACATTTTTGCCTGTAACTTTCAATTGGTTTAAACAGGCTTCATTTCTATTACACAGTGGTGAAGTACTATATACAAAAGAGCTCTCAAGGAAATAGGGGGAAAAAATTATCCTGAGAAAAACATGAGGAAGGTAACAGATTTATCGGCAATATATTTTTTGGTTTCACAATAATCTCACAGGTAGCCTACACCAGACAAATTAAACTTTAAACAAACAATTTAGTTTACCATGTTATGCAAGGAGATTAAACACTGGTACTATAGCAACCGTTTTATGTTACTTTCTTTATCCCTTGTTTGCATTTGCATTTGAAACTGCCAGATTATAGCGATTATGCCAAGTATTGATTTACACAATCACTTGGCAATGCTGTACCGTATTAGTAAAGACAGAAGAGAAACTTAACCCAATATCCTTTTATTTACTTCCTTCCATTTAGTATTTCATGGGTCATATAACAAGTTAGAATACAACTGATATCTGGGCATGTACCAAACCTAGCTCTTGGCAGACATACGTTCTTGAGTCTTCTTTGAATTATGAACAGACAGCTCCTCAAAAATAATGAATTAAAATTCAAAGTTCAATTGGATACTGGAGAGGGGCATGGGGCAGAGATGTTCTTTTGGGGCTTGATCGAAAGCCCATTGAAATCAAGGGAACGAATCCCACTGACTTTAACAGGCTTGGGATCAGGCCCATAGTGTTCACACAAAGCCTGTGCTTTCTACCCTGATTAGGGTCTGATTTGTAAAAAAAAAAAAATTAGCATGTAACTGACCCGTACAGTGTGGTGAGATATCAACTGGAATTCAGATTTGAGTCACATGTCTGGAGTATGGACCTGATTCTATAAAGCCTCTGGTAAATACTAATCTGGTTACATGACCATGGGTGGTTGCTATCGCTTAAGATATGCAGACGTGGGCAATACTAACACTGTGTAGGGGCTGACCCCAAAGCCCACTGAAATAAATCAATAGACCTTGGATCGGGCCCTATTAGCACTCCAAAAGGATTGGGTGCATGCATATTGTTCATATGGAATGTATTCCATGTCAGACCTTACCCTCTAAATGAAAAGGCACACCATGTATTGAAAGACCTGAATTTCAGAGTAGACTTGTGTTCTCAGGTGCTGAAAGCGACCTATGGCACAGATATAATGTGTTCATTGTTGTGACAAGGGCACCAGCAGCAGTCTTCTCACGTTACCTCTCCCAGACACTCTATGGAGTGCTATTTACCTCCAGCACCAGCTAATTCACTAATCATATCTGGAGATAAGATTCAGAAAAACGTGTATTGGTTATGGTGGAAAAAAGCAGGGAAACAGTCAAGAAAGATTAAGTAACAATATCAATATTGCATCACTGTAGACTTAGGTTTAGATACCAGCAAATATTTTATGGCGAATTATTAATTAACATTAACAGGACATAAGGCAACCGCTAACTTTGCAGAGTTAGGCTGAAACTTTCCCTGGAAGCAGGTTCTCCCATGTCTAGCTACTGTAGGATTTCCTCCTATGAAGCACTTTGTATTGGCCACTGTCAGAGACAGGCTACTGAATGAGATGTCCCAGTGATCTGATCTAGTATAGCAATTCCTGTGTCCCCGTACTCCTAAATATTGTGGGGAAGAAGAGGTTAGTGTGTTTGCTGTTGTTGTTGTTGTTATGTTTTAAAGGCCACATCTCAAAGATTAAGATATTTAAGAAGATACATACAAATGTCACCCGAAGCTCCTCTATGGAGGACAAAGTGCATAGATTAGATGCAGAAAATCGAGCAGAAGTGAACAATTTGTGACTGAGACACAATATAAACAAGTTAGTATCACTGGTCTTCTGCTACAGGTATATTCACATAGCTTGTTATTGCTATGACGTAAAAAGCTCAAAAGCCCATCTCCGCTGGAAATTTTACTAATATTTCCCTTTTCTTTGCTATTTCATATGTGCTACTTTGCTTGCTATATCTATTTTTTTCTCCACTTCATTGGTCTCACTGTTTTATTCTATATTTATTTTCTATTTGTAATTTCTCTATTGGCCAAATTAGAATTCCCAAATCCCACATGTGAACATTCAGGTCAGTAGTTAGGCACTTACATGTGTAAATGCCTATTTGGGTGCTGAAAGACAGGAGATGAATATCCTATTAAGGCATCCATGCAAGGAAATTAGACCGCCATATATTTGCATTCATTTTACAGAAGGCTTAGCATTGCCATTCCAGAAGGATCCATATAGGTTTTTATCTCGTGTCCAAGAGTAGCCACAATTCAGTCCTAATGCAGCCAACATACCCAGGGAAGGGAGCAGCAGAGGATCTGTGCAGGAAAGGTCTTCTGGCCATGCTCCTAACCACTTCTTGCATGCTGCTTTGCAGGGAGCCCCAATGAGTAGGACTTCATATCACAGAGGCCATGTGCTATCCCTGCAATTTCTAAGGCCTTGGCTACACTTGCGAGTTACAGCGCTGTAA